TACAATTTATATTAGTAATTTAGTATTAACAGTACAAGAGTTTGTTTCTGTTTTAATTATTGAAAGCCCAATGAGATGCAGTTGGCCACTTGGCCCAAAAAAAGAAAAAAAAAATTAAACCTTAAACACCCATTTAATATATTGCTTACCGGCACAAGCAGACTACAACTGCACAACACTCTTGTTTTCCAATTCCCGTTCATTATCTTCTCCATCGCAATCGTCTCTATCTGCCATTCAAATCGCAAATCGCTCCATCTCGCCATTTTATTTTTTCTATTCAATTCCCAAATTCAGAATCAAAGCCCTAATTCAATATATATAGCTCGGTGCTAAAATTTTAAACCTCAAATCTCAAATTCCCAATCAAACAATCAAGAACCCTAATTTCCAATGTCTAAATCTTGCGGCACATCTCCGAAAATTCCTATAGCTGGGAGGCATTCACCGACAATGGAAACTCCACCAACACCAAGCAGTGCTTCAAATCCCGTGCCTGTGGTGGTGCAGCCCGCAAATATGCCAACCGGGCCAAATATTCTATATGAGCTTCCACCAGGTATGAAGGCTAGGGTTTATAGGTCCTCCATTTGGGAACATTTTACTACTTATTGGGTTAGAACTGTTAAGAAAGTCAAGAATCTGGAATCTGGGTTAACTGAAGATGTTGTTGAATATAAAGAGAGGGCTAAATGCAAATATTATCCAAAGGGACAAGGTGATTTTGCTGCCTAGAGTGGACCTAATGGGACTGGGGGACCTAACAAGCATATACCTAAGAAATGCAAATGGTATCCTGCTAATATTGATTTAAGCAAGCAAAAAGTTATAACATGGAAAAAGGGAGATTATAACCAACTTGCTTGTAAAGGTTTTGATAAAAAACAAACAATGCAGGCTTGTGTGGAAATGGTAGTTCTTGATGAATTGCCATTTATTTTTGTGGAGAAAAAGGGGTTTAAGAAGTTTTGTGCCACAGGAATGCCATTGTTTAAGGTCCCATCTAGGAGAACTCTTGTGAGGACTTTCTTAGATATGTATGAAGCTAAGAAAGAACAACTAAAAAAAGATCTTGTTTCCCAAAGAGTTTGCTTAATCACTGATACTTGGACAAGTGTCCAAAACTGCAACTATATGGTTTTAACAGCCCATTTTATTGATTCAAATTGGAAAATGCATAATGGTGTTGAATTTCTGTGTTATTACCAACCATCAGGGGATTACTATAGCTAACTTAATTGAACAATGTCTAGCTG